TATGGTATATAGTTTAATCTGTATATATATATTTATTTTATTATTGAATGATACTTTTTACTTATATGGTTTTAAAATCATGTATATCTTTTTATAATAAAATGTTAAACTATTGATCATTAATTTTTAACATAATAATTTTAATAGTTTAGTTATTTATTCTCGTTTCTTAAAATTCAAAATATAACCTATACGAAAAGATCTAAAGTTTAATTTTATAGCGAATTTGATTGTTTAATTTATTTTAATAATATAAAATTAAATAAAACTGATGGAGGATATATAAACTGTTATCAAATATTTATTATTATAATCATTAAGTGTCATATATATATATTAGTCATTTATGGTAATTCTGTACGTTTTATTTATGGAAATAAAATAAAATAGTAATTATATCTTAGGAAACAATCATTAAGTGTCATATATATATATATTAGTCATTTATGGTAATTCTATATATTAGTCATTTAACGTAATTTTAATATTTTTTTACCGGGGGATTGGGGAGTAGTTGTAACCTAACTAAGCCTTGTCGTATACTTGTAGGTAAAAGAAAATAAAATGTGAATGTGATTAATCAGTCAGCTACGTTACCATGTAACATTGATATCGTTTACACGTGGCACTCGCTGTTCACTTTGATTATGATTATTTGCATATTTGTGTAACAAAACTTTACACCAATGATTTATAAATTACGTTATGATTATTTGAATTTAAGTATTTTCCATTTTACATATACACTTCCATAAATTAAAAGGAATGAAGTTATTATAGTTAATATATGCAAATCGTTATCAAATCGTATATTTTTCTTTTCTTCTATTACATGCGTGCGATATATATAAATATATAAACTATGTTACATGCGTTATATGCGTCTCTAATTATTTTTCCCTAGCAAATTTCAATTGAACCTAAAGCCGCCACGTCAGTTTAATTGATATGCTAATTGATTGACAACTAAGCAAGGTTACTTTTTAATTAATACAAACTTGAGGTTATATCTTTTCAAATGTTTCTCAATCAATATATAGGGGATATAAGTTTGTAGATAATCGGGATTTGTTATCTCTAATTTCCACCATCTTTTTTGTTCAAACCACCTCTAATTCCACCATTATGTACCACATTTTACTATGTATATTTTGCATGACTACAACATCAGTTATTCAATAATCACGTTTTGTAAGAACATGCATATTGTCTAAAATGTTAAAATATGGGAATTTCTTTTAAAAATTAACTCTTAAATGTATTTAAATGTAGAGTAATTTAATTTTTATTATTCTCTAAAGTCTAAATTTCAAAAAATTCAGATTAGTTTATATATATTTTTTCAAGATGAATAGTCATAATTTATATTTTTAAGATGGGCAGTTTATGTATTTAACTTGATTATGATAATTGAGCAACAAAACATAAAATACTACAAACATTGATGATAGCTGATTCTGAAAATCTCTTTTTCAAAAGATCACAATTATTATGATTGTATATTACAAAATACATTTCGTATTATACCAAAAACACGAGAAAAAAGAAAGAACAAAAGGAGTATGATCCATGTCCATGGTCCATACCTCTGCTAAAAGTAGGAAATAAGGCTGTTCTACATTTATATCAGGATTATTGTATCTATTAATTATGATCGTATTCTTTTATTGTATCAATCGTGCAAATTCACATGCTACAACAAGACACCCTGTCGTGCTGCAATAGTGAAATGATGAGAACAATCTCTCCATTGACAACATATATATTTTATATCTTATTTATTCCCATGAGACTTTTTCCTTTTCTATAACAATTTTCTAAAAATCCTTCTTGATAGTGTCTAGACTTCTATATATGTGGCAAATTGACTATTAATGAACATTTAAAAAAAAAAAAAATCAGTATAAACTCCATCTAGAAAGTAATCTCTTTTAAAATTATAATTACCATTTAACGATTTTTGAACAATCTATAATACTCATCTTTTTAAACTAAAATATCTATCCAATCTTAACCTACATAGCCATATATTAAAGGCCAATCCCACAATATATAAAATTACAAACATCTTAAGATAATTTTTGTTTTTTTTAAGTATAAAATCAATAAGACATAATGACATATATATATATTGACTCTCTGAATTTAGGAGTAAGACTACTGTTTAATTACTAATCCACCTATAGTACTTACCAAAAGATTTTTTAACTAATTTTGAAATAAACATTAATGAAACTACCTAAATCATCCCTAGTGTTAAATATTTTCTCAAATTTCAAAAAGCATATCATAAATTCGGGTTTAATGTTTTTGATTTGTGATATAAAAAGTGGTGGTAAAAAAATTGAAAAGCCAACATTGGTCGGTGTAATAACGACCGGATCTTATTCCTCTGCCTTAAATTTGACAGACTCTTTGACGTCTTTTCTCAAACCTCTCGTCTTCTTCTTCTCCCTCTTTCTTCTTCTCTTCTTCTCCTCCTCGTCGTCGGCAATATTATTCATCTCTCTTTCTCTCTCTCTCTACTGTAAATCTACGAGACAAAAACGTTACCAAAAAAAAAAGAAAAAAAAAGGTAAAAAACACAGCTCACACATACTCTTTTTTCCAAATAATAATTCAAATCTCTTTCCTTTCTTCTTCTGTCTAATTCATGTTTTCGTTTTTCTGATTTTCTTCTTCTTCCAGCTCTCTCCTTCGTCTCTTAGTGCCTGCCACACACAGATCTTTCGTCAGGTACGTCTTTCAATCTGGATCCTTGTTTGACTAATGCAGATCATTTGAATTTTCGATGTGATTGTGTTCCTACCAATGCTCTGTTTTTTGATTCTCGATCTGCTCAAATCGTTACAATGTTTTCTCTAATTACGTAAAGTCTTGATTTTTGTTTGTGGGTATTCTGAATCATCTGTGATCAATCTCTGTAAATCGCCAAAGTTTTTTTTTTTTTTAAAACTACGATCGAGATTTTTTTATAAGTTTCACTGATGATCTATGACTTTATTTCACAGTGATCGATCTTTGTCGAGTAATGAGATACGTTCTTATTCACCATAGACATTTATATTGTTGAGCCAATAACTGAGAGATCTTTGCTGGTGTGATCAGCTTTTCTTTGTTCCATTTCATTTGGTCTGAACAGTTTCATTGGCGTGTGTAGATTTTGAGCGTTGAACAACATGTCTGGGTCAACAAAAGTATTGGATCCTGCATTTCAAGGAGCCGGACAGAAACCGTATATGCTTTCAGCAACATAGCTACTTGTCCATTGATTTTTTATATATTAGTATTAGATTGTGAATGTTTTAACATGTTTTTTCTAGAGGAACTGAAATATGGAGAATCGAGAACTTTGAAGCTGTGCCAGTGCCAAAGTCTGATCATGGGAAGTTCTATATGGGAGACACTTACATTGTCTTGCAGGTTTGAAATTATTTTATTGTCATCTCTTTCAAAAACAGAGTGACTATGAATGAGAAATGTGCGCTACTTTTTGTTATATTCAATCACTTTGTGTTATGTTCAGACCACACAGAACAAAGGAGGTGCTTATCTGTTTGATATTCATTTCTGGATTGGGAAAGACACTAGTCAGGTACCTATTTTCAACGCTCTTTTGTTTTTGGTAGATGACATTATTATTTTTTTCCTTATTACTAACTTGTGGTTTGATGAATTTAGGATGAAGCTGGAACAGCAGCTGTTAAGACAGTTGAACTCGACGCAGTTCTTGGAGGCCGTGCTGTCCAACACCGGGAAATTCAAGGTCATGAGTCTGACAAATTCTTGTCGTACTTCAAGCCATGTATTATACCCTTAGAAGGTGGTGTTGCTTCTGGCTTCAAAACACCTGAAGAAGAGGTGTTTGAGACACGTTTATATACCTGCAAAGGAAAACGTGCAGTCCATTTGAAGCAGGTTTGAAACTGTTCTACTCTCTTTGTATCACAAACAGTAAAATTACCAATGTACATTAACTTCTTTTTTTTCCTTTATGTTCTTTTGTCTTTGTGTTTGTAGGTTCCTTTTGCCCGCTCATCGCTGAATCATGATGATGTGTTTATCTTGGACACCAAGGAAAAGATCTATCAGTTCAACGGTGCGAATTCAAACATTCAGGAGAGAGCCAAAGCTTTGGAAGTTGTTCAGTATTTGAAAGACAAGTATCATGAAGGAACTTGCGATGTTGCTATTGTTGGTAAGTTTCGTTGCTTACAGTGTTTTGGTGTGACATAGCTTTCACAGACTGTGTTCTTAGGTGGAAACTTATCTTTGTTATTTATCATCATTTCGTAACAGATGATGGAAAGTTAGATACAGAATCAGATTCTGGTGAGTTTTGGGTCCTCTTTGGTGGTTTTGCTCCAATAGGAAGGAAAGTTGCTAATGATGATGATATTATCCCTGAGTCAACTCCACCTAAGCTTTACAGGTACTCATCCCCTAAGTTGCTAATGATGATGATGATATTCTTGTAGTCTTGTAGATTCTGCAATGGTGTCTATATTGTGATGGATGCATTTAATATGTTTTTACTCTTTTTGCTTAGCATCAATGATGGTCAGATGGAGCCTATAGACGGTGATCTAACCAAGTCTATGCTGGAAAACACTAAATGTTACCTCTTGGACTGTGGCGCTGAGGTCTTTATTTGGGTTGGCCGAGTAACTCAAGTGGATGAGAGGAAAGCTGCTAGTCAATCTGCTGAGGTAAAAAAGTGGTAACCTACTTTTCATACCTAATCTCAATCATCGCTTCTCACTTTTTTTTACCTTTCATCTCCAGGCTTATCTTGCTAGTGAAAACAGGCCAAAGGCGACACGAGTCACCCGTGTTATCCAAGGTTATGAGTCCCACTCTTTCAAGTCTAACTTTGACTCTTGGCCATCTGGCTCAGCCGCTCCTAGTAATGAAGAAGGACGAGGAAAAGTCGCTGGTAAAACCACCACTTTGAAACTCAAAATCATTAAATAAAAATTAATTAACAGTGTTTTTTTTTAGTCTTGAATTACTATTAATGCATTGCACCATTTCTCTAGCTTTGTTGAAGCAACAAGGTGTTGGGCTTAAGGGCATTGCGAAAAGTGCACCAGTGAATGAGGATATTCCACCTCTGCTTGAATCTGGTGGAAAGTTGGAGGTCTGTTTTTTTGACTTGCTGTCTCTTTATTATACACACTCTTCTATGTTTGAACTCCATTTGATATTTTGTTATGCTTATGTATTAGGTTTGGTATGTTAATGGCAAAGTCAAGACTCCGTTGCCTAAAGAAGATATTGGCAAGCTCTATTCTGGGGACTGCTATTTGGTCCTTTACACTTATCATTCTGGTGATAGGAAAGACGAGTTTTTCTTGTGCTGCTGGTTTGGAAAGAATAGCATTAAGGTAAATTTTAATGCACATCATGGCCAAAGTATGCAGTATTGGTTCCTGATGTTAGTAGTTGTACTGTTATATGTCTCAGATCCATGAACATAATGTTGTTTGGGTTCTCTCTTATCCAGGAGGACCAAGAAACAGCACTTAGACTGGCGAATACAATGTCAAACTCGTTAAAAGGAAGACCTGTGCAGGTACAATGTTATTCCATGAACAGAAATGATGAAGTTTACTAAAAAAGATCAAAAATAATGACTAGCTTTTTCTGGCAGGGTCGTATCTACGAGGGTAAAGAGCCTCCACAGTTTGTTGCTCTGTTCCAGCCTATGATTATCCTAAAGGTAATTTGTATGATGTTTACAAGATGATGTATGTCTCGGAAGAGAAAACACAGTAATTAATATGATTTGAATGCGATTGTTTAGGGTGGTTTGAGCTCTGGGTACAAGAACAGCGTGGAAGAGAAAGGTTCAGCAGATGAAACCTACACACCAGACTCAATTGCACTGATTCAAATATCTGGAACGGGAGTTCACAATCATAAGGCACTTCAAGTTGAACCGGTACTTGACTTAAGTTCTTTCTTTCTAAGGATTGTATTAATGGAGCGACAATTACTCTCTGTTTAACTATTTTAACTTCCTTTAGGTGGCAACATCTTTAAACTCTTACGAGTGCTTCCTACTGCAATCTGGTACTTCCATGTTCCTTTGGCATGGAAATCAAAGTGCGCATGAACTGCTGGAACTAGCTGCTAAAGTTGCTGAGTTCTTGAAGGTTAGTTTCAGATCTTTGTGGCTTGAATCTTCCTAAAATAGATGCTCTAAAGTTTTATACATGAAAATCATAATAGAGTTTTTTAAGAATATATTAAGCTTCTTCCTCGTTTTGCTAAGCCAGCCTGGGATGACTCTCAAGCATGCCAAAGAAGGAACAGAGAGCTCAACCTTTTGGTTTGCTCTTGGAGGAAAGCAGAGCTTCACCAGCAAGAAGTCAGCATCTGAGACTGTCAGAGATCCTCACTTATACTCATTTTCTATCAACAGAGGTGAACATTTAATAATAGGATGAAGATAGTTGTGATCTTTCGTTGTATATATTTTTCACATTTCTATATTCTAACTGTATCATTTCTTTTTCTTTGAAATGTGTCTGCATGTTCAGGAAAGTTTCAGGTGAGTTATTTACGATTCTACACAACTTTCTTGATTCGAGATGTATGTTATTTTAACAGTGTGCTCTGCAACAGCTTGAAGAGATTTACAACTTCGCTCAAGATGACCTCTTGACTGAGGATATATATCTGCTTGACACTCATGCTGAAGTTTTCGTCTGGGTTGGTCAATGTGTGGACCCCAAGGAAAAGCAAACTGTGTTTGAGATTGGCCAAGTAACTTTCATTCCCTACAGGTTTTGCTTCTCTCTGTTTTTGTTGCTCAATGTGATAGTTTATATGCAGAAATACGTTGAACGTGCTGGATCCTTGGAAGGCTTGTCTCCTAAAGTTCCACTATACAAAATCACTGAAGGGAACGAACCATGCTTCTTCACTACTTACTTTTCTTGGGACTCCACTAAATCCATTGTAAGTTTAGTGTGATGAAGAGGGATTTGAATTAATCTGATTGTACCTAGAGTCTTTTTGTTTTACATTTGCTCTTCTGTTCTCCTGTGACATTAGGTACAAGGAAACTCATTCCAGAAGAAAGCAGCCTTGTTATTTGGCACTCACCACGCTGTGGAGGTACTACACCTTTTGCTTTAACTGTTCTCTTGACTTGTGTGCTTGTAATGGCTCAGGGCAATAGAAAAGCGCTCTTGTTGCATGTTCCATCTTCTTGGTCATGATATCTATGTTCTTGTGTTGTTGCAGGATAAGTCTAGCGGTGGGAACCAAGGACTAAGGCAAAGGGCTGAAGCACTAGCTGCCTTAAATTCTGCATTTAACTCTTCTGGTAGCAGACCAGCCTATTCGGTAAATATCTATCTTAACCTATTAGCATATTATGAGAACTTTAAGAATGTTTAGCAAATCGCATCTTATTCTTTGATTAGTGAACTTAGATAGTCATCCATCTTAACTGCAGAGCCAGGACAGATCAAGTGGAAGTCAAGAGGGCCCAAGACAAAGAGCTGAAGCTTTAGCTGCATTGACATCCGCGTTCAGTTCTTCTTCATCATCAACTAAATCTCCTCCACCACCGAGGCCAGCAGGAACGAGCCAGGCATCACAGAGAGCAGCAGCAGTGGCTGCTCTCTCACAGGTTCTCGTTGCTGAGAATCCGAAATCAACTGATACCTCTCCTACAAGAAGATCCACTAGCTCCAACCCAGCAGATGAGAGTAAGTTCCTCTCCTTTCTTTCACGTTTTTTAAAACTCTATAACACAATTGACTTCATCTATTTTCATCCACAGATGATGATCAAGCAGATGAGTCACAAGAAGCTGGTGATGAAACCAAGGTAGAAGAGGAAGTTTCACCTGCAGTAGAGGAGCCAGAAGCAAAGCAAGAGGAAACAGAGGAGCAAGATGATTCTGTTATAGACTCAAGTGGTGCAACTTTCACCTATGAACAGCTGAGAGCTAAATCTGAAAACCCTGTGACTGGAATCGATTTCAAGCGCAGAGAGGTGAGTTGGTTAAATAGTTGGTATTAGCACCTGAATAACTCTCTTTATCTCCAAACTTATCGTTTTTTTATTGCTGTGTGATTAAAGGCTTATCTATCTGAAGAAGAATTTCAAAGTGTGTTTGGGATGGAGAAAGAAGCATTCAACAACTTACCTCGTTGGAAGCAAGATCTGCTCAAGAAGAAGTTCGACTTGTTCTAGACACTCCTACTCCTACTCCTACTCCAATGCAAAAGAAAAACATCTCAAAGATCTTTTATTACACACTCCTGCAGTTCAGTTTATACTGAAAATGGTTTTATGTGGTCAGTCAATTTGTTGTTGGTTGTTTGAAGAGTGTTCTTTTATTTGTTTCTCTTCTTCAGTATTATTTACCTTGACTGATTTACTTCTCTGTCATGGGTTTGGTTTTGGACTTGGTTCTTAATATTTTCATACAACACAATGAGGTGTTCTTGTAATGACGATGACAGATTGTTTTACCCGAGACAGATTTGTGATTTGTGGGTAAGATAATTCTTTGATTTGGATCTTCCATTGTTGTGATATTTAAAGAACATGTTTATTTGATGCTGAAGCTTTATGCATATGTTTATAAGTGGTTTGGTTTGTGTATCAGTCTGTGACTATGAGTGTTTAGACATGATTCAGTTGTGTTACTACAGCTACTCGGACTAGTTTTTTTATACCAAAAGATCGCAAGAACTCGTATGATGAAGCTACCAAGATTGCTTTAACATCAGACAAACTTCACAGCAAACTAAACACCCAGCTAAAACTTTAGCCGCAATAAACAAAATATCTAAGAAAGAGAAAGCCCAATAAATTTGGGGAGACTTTTCTTGGGATAAATTTTGTGATAAATAGGTTTTTTTACTTTCACTGAATGAATGACCCATTATAGTTGCGAACCGTTAATAGATAATTTTTTTTAAAATAACGTGATACTAAAACAACATTATTTAAAAGGTGCAACAACAATATCCATATTCTGGATTTTTTGGAATACATTTTCCTCCTGTGTATTTCTTATTCTTCATAGAACACTTAACCAAGCAATGATGAGTTCCGGACTTTCCCATCTTACAAAGCTCGTCATAAATGCATGCTCCATAGTTTGTTGTCTTACTCACTTCACCTATAACAAACCAAGGTTAAAATTATAATCATATATCACATATCCAAATAATAGTTTTTTCATGTCAAAGTTCTTACACATCCATATAAATGGTTATCACAAATTCTATTATATATAATTTCTTTTCCTTTAATAAAAAAACGTTAAGGTGGCTAAGTACTACTTTCAAAATGTTCAAAGATAAAAAAAAAAATTAATAAAAAGTAAAACAAAAAGTCTTGAAAGAAGGATTATACTTGATGCAGCTAGAACTTCACAGTTGGACGCAACTGCCAATGTTATTACCAAGAAAAGGGTGATTGAGAATTTTGTGAAACCCATTTCAATTTTTTTAGTGTTATTTCTATTGAGAAAAAAATATGTAACTGTGATTTTTTAGCTATTGATGAAGGGCTCTATTTATATGATTTTTCATTCTTTTCTTTGACACTTGCCAATTACTATTCAATTTTGTTTTAGTTTTTCTCAGATACGAATCTTTCATATTTGCTGATATTTTTTTGGGGAAAAAATCTTTTGACTTTTATTGTACATTTTGCATGTATGGCATGCTTCTCTATATTTTGTGTGAACTCATTGCACGTATGGGATGCTTCTCTATATACTGTCATTTGACCCCAAAAAAATACATACGTACGGTCAAATATTTGAGTACTCTCTGGTCTAAATTTTACAAACACCTTTATAGCCCTTTTTAAATACTACTTACTTTCATTAAAATTCAGTTTGACTGGATTACAAAAGTTAGAGGAAAGATAAAAATTGTCATACTTCTAAGACTAGCTACAATGAGCACAGACTAGTTACAATGAGCATGTTGAATCGATCTCATATTCAACTGTTTAACATGTAGAATAAGCATGTTGAATAGAGAAAAAAATACATGTTGAATTCAAACAAGTTGAATGCAGAAAAAAAGAGTCTAGGTGACACATGGCGACTTGGAAATGGAAAGAAAAAAAAAAGAGTGAAACTCACGCCACCATTATTTTAAAAGAAAACACATTTATGCATTTTAAATATGTTACTATATTTTCATTGGTTCAAATTTTTTTTTTGAGATTCTTATCTCCTCCTATTATTGAAACTCAATTATTTTATAATGATTTATTTTTTAAAATATCAAAATTATGATTTTTCTATGATCTATAAATAGAGACTAGTCTCACTTTATTTAGATACATTAAAAATGCATTTGTTAGTTACTATAATTTTTAGTATTACCTTTCATTTAAAAAATTGTGTTAAATTTTTTTTTTTGTTAATGGATGCCAATAATAATCTACTTAACACTCAAAAATTGTTTAACTTTCCTTTCAACTATCCCAACAACTACCATTTTCAAAATCACTCTTCAAACACACCCCAAAATATATAAAATTATGATTTTACACCAAATTTTTATGTGTGTTTATCGGTTGTTTTGTTTGGTTGTATAGTATGTATGTAAAATTTTTTTGTAATTTTATTTCTTTTAATAATATTAAATTTATTTTTAAAAATATTAGTTAAGAAATAATGAATTTAATTTATATTCATTAAATTAAGTAACTAATCAATTATATTTTAGTTGTTAATGTAAAAAGGAATTGTATATGCCTACTAATTCGTATATATACAACTGTACAAATCATTCCAAACCCTCACCTAACGTAATTCTTATAGATTGAATACTAAAGTTATATATATTTGATAAAATAAATATTCATAGTTAGCTACTATTAATATTTAATCATATAACGGAATTTATTATTCTTGTATATGCTTACTAATTCGTATATATACAATTGTACTTTAATATAAATGCAATAAAAAATACTTCAAAATCTTCGCCAGATACAAATAATATAATTATTATATATAAAGTATTAAAATTATATATATTTATATATATTTGATAAAATAAATATTAATAGTTAGCTACTATTAATATTTAGTGATTTGATGAAACATGTTATTATTGATATTTTATGAGTATACGGATTATTCAAACAAATATGTAAAACATTATCAAATATAAAATAATTTAACAAAACATAATAACACTTTACGTTAGGCTTGATCTTCAGATACATATTGGGATACAGGTTGGATACTTGGAATTCTGATTCTAATTTATATCACATTCATTTTGGTAAATGTGTATGTACGGATTGAGTTCGGATATAACTCAACGATTTTGATTCTAATTTGTATCACATCCTAAAATCTATATAATAACCATATATCGTTAGAATTTGGATATATTGGTCCAATTCGGATATATCTAAAATTAAATCCAAAATTTAAAATTTGGATCATAAAGATACTTGGATATTAAAAGTACTTATTTAAAATTTAAATAATTATTATTAGATATCATTTCAAAATAAATATTAAATTGAATATTTGAACTATATATTTATATTTGTTATTAATTTGGACATTCCGATAGGTTTTTAGGATTTTTGTGGTGGGGGGGGTGTCAGGTTATCTGTTTTGGTTTGCTAATAACAATTCAGTTTCAGATATGTTTTGTACCACTCTACAAGAATCATTTTTGGTATTTCTTATATTTTGGACTGCAAACATATCGGGTTTTTTGGTAGTCGGTTTGGACTTTAGATTAAAGATTTATACTAATGCTTGCTTTAAATAAATAGAAAAGGCGAGTATATAAAATTTTGACCAAAAAAATTGTTCCATGTATTTAAAGCGTGGATCAAAATCTAATTATCCATTATAGTTGATAAATAAAAATAAGGAAATACGTTTACAAAAACATGATAATAACGTGATAATAAAACAACTTTATTTAAAAGGTGCAACAACAATATCCATATTCTGGATTTTTTGGAATACACTTTCCTCCTGTGTATTTCTTATTCTTCTTAGAACACTTAATCAAGCAATCATGAGTTCCGGACTTTCCCATCTCACAAAGCTCGTCATAAATGCATTCTCCATAGTTTGTAGTCTTACTCACTTCACCTATAAACAAACCAAGGTTAAAAATATAATCATATTATCACATATCCAAATAACTGTTTTTTTTTTTTGCATGTCAAAGTTCTCACACATCCGTATAAATAAATGGTTATCACAAACAAATTCTATCATATATATATTCTTTAATAAAAAACGTTAAGGTGGCTAATTACTGTTTTCAAAATGTTCAAAGATAAAAACATTAATACTTCATCTGTTTTAATAAGATCCATATGTCTAGAAATAATATTTGTTTCAAAAAGATATATTTTTATATTTTCAATGTATTAACTAATGATAAATTGTAAATTTCAAAAAACTTAATTGTGTTTATTAAAATTCTATTGATTAAAAATTATGAGAAATTTTTAGCTACAAAAAGTAATGCATTGATCATGAAAATTTTATATATATATTTTTT